CCGATTCGTATCCTGCCACTAACGCTACGTTCAAGCCATGGGCATTTTCTGTCCAGGGATCGCTTCAAGCCCTGAAATTAGGTCAGTACATGTCACACTCCCGACAGCCACCTCCACTCACACTCATCATCCCCAATCTCCTCATGGACCTTCCTCGGCACCTCGCACGAATTCATCGCCTCCACCGACTGCGTCTTCATCGTCTTGCACTGCACATAGCACTCCTCATCCAGAATCTTCTGCAGCGAGTCATCTTTCCAGCCAAACACGTAATCCCCATGATTTCCAAACCCCGTCCTATCCCTATGAGCAACCCTTTTCAAATTTGCGCTCCAAGGCGGTCTTACCTATCTCCGAACGACCAAACAAAAGGTTGACTACCGTCAGCAGGCCAGTCTGCTTTCTTGTTAAAGGCTTTAGTCTCAAAGATGACTTCGTACATGACCTGGGCTACGCGGACGGGGTGCATAGCCGGGCAGGGACCTTGGGTGTCGAAGGTACCGGAGGCGGGGTACGACATGTGACTGATGTGGTCGGGGCTGTCGAGGTCGATGCCATTCCAGCATCTATTTCTATTAGCTTTTCCAACCTTCGCTTTCTCCCGTCTCCCTTCGAACTGTGGAGTGTGTGGAGGGTGGGGGGCTTACGTGGGAAAGCGCAGGTTCACCATGATGCCAGCGGGACAGGGTTTGGAGGGAAAGTCTTTCGTCTCGGGATACCGCGTGTTCATGTCTTGCAGGCAGGTGTATGTGAGTTGGGGGTATTTGTCTGCTTCGGGCTTGGTGGAGGCGGTTGGGCTGCCGATGAGCATGCGGAATCCCTGGGTGCGGTTAAACTTCACCGGATAGCATTGATAGGTGTACGAACCGGCTGGAAGGCTTTGACTTTTGCCTTTTGCTGGTAGTCCTGTTTTCAAGTTGCAGTCAGTGAGGACTTTGGAGGACCAGGTGGAAAGAACATACCCCAAGCGAGGCTTGCATGTAGTATACCGTCATACCTATTGGCATTAGAGTCCTACTTATCTGGTTTCCTGCTTTGTTCAGACATACCGCCTCGTTGGCCTTCAAATCCAACGTTCCCTTTCTGTGGTACTCGCTTGTATGTGCCGTTACGAGCTCGGAAGAAGAGCGACGCGGTCCAGTAGTTACTAAAGTCCTCTGCACACCATTAGCACTCACACACGCAGCTTCTTGTTCCGAGGACGAACCAGAGGGCTGGCAGGACGTGCATGTCGATAACTTGGCCAGGTCATGTTCTTCTGGGTACATGGATGTGTTGAACGAATTGCCTCCTATAATCTGGTGTAGATGCGGAGAGGGCTCCATCCCGGGATTTACCAGAGGGTCTAGTCTGTCGACTACGAGCTGGGAGCATCCGAAGCGTATCAAGGCGTGTGAGGGCGCGAATAGCGCAAGGGCGACGATCGAAATCCAATGCATCGTGAGGTGCGCGACGTGGTGTCTGATGAGGAGTAGGGTGGGGCGTAGGTAGATGCTACCAAGAGGGCGACTCCAGCTTTTATTGCGCATGGCCGACGCATAGTTTTGATTGAGGCTGCGGGAAGCCAATTTGGACCGCCTGGCTGGTGTTCTGCATCCATGTAGAGCCATAGTTGAGACAAGCCTAGGCGCGGTGATTTGCATGCTGACCTGGTCCATAAGCTTTACTCAGATTGGTACTTCACAGTCATGTAGAGTTCGGGGAACTGCCGGTCTTGCCGGATGTCGAAGTTGTGGATCTCATATACAGACTATCAATACAATATGGAAAGCCTGCTAGGCCTTTCGACCCGCATATTTGTGCAACACCATCGATCGCATTAGTGGCTATAGCAACCCCTCGATATTTTTCTCCTTGGAAGGTTTTAGAAACAGTAATCTCGGCTCAAGCCGCGACTTTGGCCTTTCCACTGATTTATTCTGGATTGCAAGCTGGTGTTGCTACTGCGCCTCCGTGCTTCACATCAGCCAGGAGTCAAGTTGCGTGTAGGGACTCTAGCACTGTTCACTGTGCGAGACCAGGGTACTTTTAAGCAGATGGACGCTTTCATAACAAAGAAGATATGACAATGAAAGAAATGAAGAGGAAGGAGTAGGAGTACCGACAACAACATTGACGTTGTTTAAAGCGACATATTCGAGGTGAGACCTCGTCTGCTCATGACTATAAGAACACAGATGTGCGCGCGTGGTCAAATTATGAAACAAGCCATGGAATAGTGGAGTAGGAAAACTGGGATGTGACGGAGGATTGCAGGAAGCGGACAGAGTCATCGCATTGGCGTACGTATGCAAGTGATGATCCAGTTTCTGGGGAAGTCAGCCGCCGACGTAACACGCGAACGTGCGGGGAAAGAGTCCTCGGCTCGCGATGTTGTGTTCGAGCTCTATCCTCGGAGTAGGCGTTCCACCTCGTTTCAATTGCCCTTCCTGTAGCGCTAGGTGGTCCCCTTTCAGAGGGGCTGAGACACGAGAGCGCCGTGTCCAGTTCGTCCCCGCGAGAATGCGATTGATGTGAAGCATCGCCCTCGACAGAGCTCCTCCATACCCTAGGTAGCTATAAAGGCAGTGATCCAACCACGAACGGCAGCCCGACCCCGCCTTCCGCATCGGGCCCTGACGTCTGATTGATTCTGGTGAACAGTTCCTCCCATGCGCGCACCCGAGACGCCTCCAACCGCAGCAGCCCGCAGTGACAAGAGCCCAAGTAGTCAGAAGCTGGTCGCGGGGCATGCAGGCTTTTCATCGTCGACCCACCACCGCGTGTTCCTCAGCGCCCTGGTCGTGGTGCTAGTGCTTGTTTTCCAATTGCTCGCACCCCGCCTTCCACGCGAGCTCCTCCGCTTCACTGCAAACCAGGACGCTTGGGACCCAGCAATTTCCTTCCGCGAGCACCCACTGTATAAAGAACCGCCCGTCTGTCCGAGACCTTTACACCCCGTCGCGCGCACCGGCACCTTCAACAAGCGAATTAACAGGGACACAGCCCGCAGCATGGCCCTCGCAGAACAGGCAAAGCGCGTCGCCGACGAGTTCAACTTCGGGCCTGATGCCGTCAACAAGGCCGTCAATGAGTTCATTCGGGAGATGGGTACGTGCTCTAGGATATGCTCCAGCCCCAGAATAGGCACTCACGATATACAGACGAGGGACTGGGGAAGGAAGGCACCGAGCTGAGCCAGATTCCCACATACGTCACTGCCGTGCCCAACGGAACTGAGAAGGTGCGACCGCAACACCACAACACTGCACACCCACAATGGCACAGCTGATGCGCGACAGGGCCTCTATATGGCCGTCGACCTGGGCGGCACGAATTTCCGTGTGTGCTCCATCCAATTGCACGGCAACACCACCTTCTCGCTCACCCAGAGCAAGGTCGCCATACCCAAGGAGCTCATGGTCGCGAAGACGTCCAAGGAGCTCTTCTCGTTCCTGGCGAAGCAGATCGAGAATTTCTTGAAGACGCACCATGAGGACCACTACTACGGGCACATCAGGCGCAGAGACACGGGAGGAGCTACGAAGGAGCAAGAGATCTTCAACCTCGGCTTCACCTTCTCCTTCCCGGTGAACCAGATTGGCATCAACAAGGGCTTGCTCATGCGCTGGACCAAGGGCTTCGATATTGCTGACGCTGTAGGCAAAGACGTTTGCGCCCTGCTCCAGACCGAAATCGACGCGCTAGGCCTCCCCGTCCGCGTAGCCGCCTTGGTTAACGACACGGTCGGCACCCTCATGGCCCGCTCGTACACTTCGCCTGGCAAGACCGGCACGCTGTTAGGAGCTATCTTCGGCACTGGCACCAACGGCGCATACGTCGAGAAGCTCGACAAGGTCACGAAGCTCACGCAGAGCAAGGACTCGGGCGACTATGATAAATCGACCGGCGAGATGATCGTCAACACCGAGTGGGGTTCGTTCGATAACTCGCTCCGGACGCTGCCCAACACGCCCTACGACATCGAGCTCGATGAGAAGTCGGTAAACCCTGGCATACAAATGTTCGAGAAGCGTGTATCGGGCATGTTCTTGGGCGAGATCCTCCGTCTGGCCATCGTCGGCCTCCTCAAAGACCCCACGTTCCCGCTGTTCCGCGACGAGAACTCGGCACAGAACGACATCCACAGCACCACCCAGATCCACGATTCGTCGCCGATATGGAAGCAATGGGGTATTGACACCAGCTTCCTTAGTATATGTGCCGGAGACAACAGTCCTGGCTATAGGATGGTCAGGCAGACACTAGATAAAGACTACGGCATCACGGCCGTAAGCGCAGAGGATGCAGAGGCCGTCAGGGCCATCGCGGCGGCTATTGGACGTCGTGCAGCGCGCCTCGCAGCTGTTGCCATTGCAGGTATTGTCATCAATACTGGTAGGCTAGACGCTCCCGGCACAGCGACGACCGAGAACAAGTCAGGCATTGATCCTCCTCGCGGCGACGCGGACCTTGCCGAAGACGATGTCATTGACGTGGGTGTGGATGGCTCGCTCGTAGAATTCTACCCCAGCTTTGAAGACCACATTCGCGAAGCGCTGCGCGAGATAGAGGGCATTGGTGAGAAGGGCGAGAAGCGCATCCGGATCGGCATTGCCAAGGACGGATCGGGCGTTGGTGCAGCGCTGATTGCGCTAGTCGCGGGCAGAGTGAGTGTGGATACAGAGTAGGGATAGAGGTGTGATGTTGAGCGTGGTGTTTGGGTAAAATGTAAGTAACCAGATTTACCAAATCTATACAAGTGTTCAACCTGTTGAGATTACGCTGTCATCGCCGCTGCCATCGCCGCTTTTAGCTTGCGCCTTATCTCCCCCTCTCCCAATGTTCAAAAAGTGATAATCGTGAAACTCCGCTGTCCACGGTTTCCCTCGCCTCGCTGCTTACACAGTTCAAGCGCCCCTCACGCACGCACGCACGCACGCTTAGAGCACCCTGCCTCCCCTTCTATTTATAGAAGATAGACAAAAAAATTCACTCCAACAAGGGAGCAAAGCAAATGTCGCCCGACGTGGGACTCGAACCCACAGCCTTGGGATTAAAAGTCCCACGCGCTAACCATTGTGCCAGCCGGGCATCCAACGAGATCGAGCTCATTTTCAGCAACTGATGACTTTTTTCTCTAAAATATGTTATATAATCACATTGAAAAAAAGCTGAGCTGCGAAGAAAAGGCGGCAATGATTTATCGGTCTAGACAGATGTGGTTGGAATGTGACAGTGGGCCTGGTGGGGTAGAGGGGAATGGTGGGGCTGAGGCGTCATAGATTTTAGGGCGTGGTGCGTTGAGACGGAACACGGAAAATTGCATCGCATATACCGTACATGTACTTTTGTCCATGCAGTCTTGTCTTAGACCGTTTACATGCTATTTTCTCGAGCTCTATTTATGTCGGTTTGGCATGTTTGTACGAGTGAGGAAGATTCAAGTGTCTGCGTGGTATATCTAGGTGCGCAGGTGCTAGCTGCAATGAATAGTTTAAGACCAAATGCCTCGTCTTCAACACGTAAAGACGGGTTTCGGGTTTCTAAGCTAGGGTTCTTATATTTGTGAGGTGTGCTGATACACGAGAACGCTACCAAATACTGACAAACCGTTTATAGAGGAGTATGATATCAAGTGATCCAGAACACACGTCGTGTCACGAATGATATCCACTATAGCAACCTGCAACTACCTACACATCGCCAGCCATCTCATCAAACCCTTTCTTCCTGTAATCTCTCCATCTCACTCCTCCTATGATCGTTCTCAAAAATGCCCGAAGACATGGTTCTGCGTTGCCGCTCATTCTCTGCGTCGGAAGGTCCCTGCTGCGATTGGCGATGTTCATCAGGCGATTTCTTCGAGGCACTGTCTCTCAAATGTCTAGACTGCATACTAGAAACTGGAGCTGCATTCTTGTCTCTATCCTCGCTGGACTCGGAGATCTTGAACCTACCCGTTTGTGTTGTTTGCAAGGTAGGTACGTTAGGGGGCATCTGACCCTTGTGTTTAACCAAGAAGAGTCTGTGCTTAGAGTCGTGTCTGACTTCGAACCAGGTCATTTTGATGATGCAGGGGTGAAGGTTAGCGCGTGTTGTACAGGTGAAGTCGAGCACTGTCAACCAGATCTGCGGTTGGAGGACGGAAGGAGATATCAGCTTGAATGGGTCATTATGTACGCTCTTACAAAGGCAAGACCCAGACGGAGTCATAGGAGAATCACGTCGCTTGAGACAGTGTCTAACCTGACCAGTTGAGCTCTTCGCAGGCGTCTGCTGTTGTAGGGCAAGCTGTGAGACTTAATGCCACTCTCCCAAAGGGAATGAATTGTCCAAGGCCCAAGAGCCTAGCGCGGTTCGCGGCAATTCCATATGATGCAATGTGGGCGGAGAGTAAAGATTGCCGGCTGCTGTCGGTTGCCAAATATCGGAGAGTTGGGGATCAGTCTCTCCGGTAGAGTACAAAGGGAAACAAGCGACAGATTACTGGCGCTGGTTAACCAAAAGGCCCTGTATGGTTATCGTAATTCCCCAGTAGATGATATGAAGCATCTCTCGCGCCCAACATGTGTTCACAGTCCACCGCTACACGGCACGCGTGTTATCCGTCGTGGTGATTGACGACATCAGAGCACTAGATGCGCTATGAGGTGTTTCGCGACCCCAACAGCGGGAAGTTGCACACCGATTGCCCGCCATACAAATCTACTGAAGTATTGCGTGGAAGAAGCGGTCGGCAGCCCCGGAGAGGGGTCGCATAGATGACTTGGCTGCCGCGAGAACCCCCGCATCACGGAAGTCTGAGCGCGTACGACCAATCGTCACGCGAAACAGTCGGTGAAGCCGAACAACAGCATCCACACGCGGGAACGATGATGGAGTTCTGGGGTATGTGGAGGTGGGTTTCCTCCCGCTCTGCTCCAAAGTCGGTGTCATTTAGCGCCAATATCAGTCGTGGTGGGTCGACCTCTCCCAAATGACAAGCGGAGCTCGCGCAGAGTCGCACTACACCGTGTTGATAGGCACTGTTGGCGGTCGACATAAAGAATCGGCGTCGCCTCGAATGGGTGCGTGAAGGAGGTTTCGAAACGAAACGAGACCTAATTCGATTATCGGGCGCTAACATCATCCTGACAATGACATCCGCTCGACGTCGCTCGTCTTCGCACGAAGACATGGCGATGCACAACAGTAAGTACCTTGGTCCTGATTCGCCTACGATGGTTGCCTATAGTACGGCTGCAGTACGCCTGGGAGAGCTCCATGTACGTGAGCCTGAGGCTAACGCTTGAGCCACACCAGTGCCGTCGCCATCGCCGCACCCCGCCAACGTGTCGTTGGTGGACATCCTCGAGGAGTCAATCACACGGAGCCCGCTCGGTGAATGGCTTCAGTCCTCCCACGAGGATATTCACGCACGCCTGGTGAACCTCGCTTCATTTTCTGAAGGCCCGGGGCCTTCGTTCACTTCCAGCCCACCGTGCTCGCATCCGCGCTCTGCTCGCAGCAACGCTTCGTCAATGGCACCCACCTGCGTCCACTACGCTTCAAATGCCTCGGCCCACCCGCCCTCGCTCTACCACTACTCCGATGCCACACCGACCGAAACTTCGATCAGCACCGGCCTGGCTAGTCAGTTCTCGGGCGTGCCGCTGCTTGAGGAGAACAACGGCGTGCTCGAGCGGCCGTTGACCCAATGTCGGAGCCCCATGTACGAGTGCGCTTTCTGGTTCTTGAGTTGCTCAAACGTCTTCCATGAAAAGGAGGAGTGGAAGGAGCATTGCTTGAGCCACTTCCATACCGAGGAGCCACCAGCTTTTGTACGATGCCCGTTATGCGACTTCGAATACCAGGACAACGATGGAAGAACGGCGTGGAACGTCAGAATGGATCACATCGCCTCCGAACACGTGGAGCGGGGCGAGACCTTGAAAACGAGCCGACCCGACTTCGGCCTCTTCCAACATCTTTGGTGTAAGAGATTGATAGACGATCAGGACTTGAAGGAACTGAAAGGAGGAAACCACAACTTGGAGAGGCCGCCATCCAACTTCACTGTTACGAACAGTCGTCGAGAGAGGGATGTGCGGAGACAACGAACGCAGCATGTTGGCACGAGACGGACGTCGGCTCGTAGATAAAGTCGCGTCCGTCCTGGCGTGTCACCGAGACAGTGCGGGTGGTACATGTCGCTGCCCTCCCGACCGGTGAACCACATTCGGACATTGACGTCGCAGACATGCCATGCCGGCCGGTTCCTGAAATTTCGACTCCAGTTCCGCACCCGTCTTCCACTTCATTGTTAACCTGTTGGATTTTCTTCTCTTCTCCTTTTTGTGTGATCCGTCACCTTTACGCAATACCCCTTATGTTTCCACGCCGCGCTGCCCCCATGCTGTTGGTGGCAATGCGTTACGTTTCTTCCATTAATGAAAGTGTTTTGGGATCTTCGGCGTTCTGGATGAAAAATTGAGAGCGTGTTTATGGGTTCCCAGAGGTACTGCATATATTGGATTATGGCTGCTGTATTAGATTGGATGTTCGAGCGCTTCTCCGGTTGTAATTGAATGGCAGATGTACCAATGAACGCATGCTTCGAGACCAAAAGCTAGTCGGAGACCGGCAAATCGTGATCTGAACTGTGTGCGAAAAGTCAGCGCCGCAAGAGGCCGTCTGTTTCCTTTATACCATCCAACCCCCAGCGTTCCAACCAGCCCCTTGTTTGCCTGCTTTGTGGCCATGGCAACGCGTGCTGCGATTCGTCACATCTAGGCCAATCTGTTTAGCAGCCTCACCATCTGACATCGCGCCGCGAAAATCTCTCAGCCCAGCGCGTTTTATATGTCTGCCTTGGGCGCGCGCTCGATGCGGGTTAATGGTTTCCTGATTAGGAAGGATTACGCGGGCGGTTCGCATCCCATGCGAGCTGCAAACACCTGCGCGACATGTTAGTTTGGCCACGGTAAGCGAACGGCCGGAGGAGGCCGATGAAGACGACAGAAGTGTGAAGTGAGATGGAGAGTTCAGAGGGCGGTGGTCGTAGCTTCCGATCAGGGTTCACGATAGGTGTACCGTGTACCGTGTACCGACCACAGAAGTCGCGTCCCAACATCATACTTGGTGTACCGAAGGCAGGGAGAGGGTCACAAAGCTTTGCCTCCAGTTATATTAGGGTTCTTAGTCGCACGTTCTTTGATGCGGCTACACATGAACCGGCACTCGCAGCAATTTTCGAAGCGCAGTCAACCCATCCATGCACTTAATACTTAAGACGCCTAGAAATATAACTTTCAGATACAAAGGGGATCTCAGACTATTTGCTATGCCAGCAAACCGTATATTTTGTTTCAATTGGCGCGCTGAGCTTTGAAAGAGGAGCGGTTATACCACGGCGATCTCGATAGCTTTTTACACCGCTGAAATTCAGGCCTGTGCTCCGTCCCCATGCTCCCCACAAGGCCATGAACAAACTCGTCAAACTCAGGAACGGCCCGAAAATGATGAAAAGAAAAGCCGGAACTTCGACAATGAGTAAGTTATCTAGTTATCAACTGCTGCAGTATATTAACATTCCAGGCATAAAAGGATGATTTAGTTTAAAATACTTGCGTCAAGGTTGCCAAAGCGCACCTGGTTGAACTCGCACTCCACAGCACCGTGTGATACCGCTCTGCTGTCTACAACTTAAGCAGTTGATACGAGAGCTTTTCATTCTCATCATTGCGTTAAGAAAAGTGTATGATAATCTTCTCGGTTGATCCGGTTGAGTCCTATTATGGGAACATGCCCACTCTCACTTAGCCTTTGCCGTTTGCAAAGTTGATTCGTGCCCATGGGTCAGGCATGACCTCGTGATATTTGAGCTTTTGTGCTTTCCACCGTACCACCAACTGTAGTATAATGACCCCTCTCTCTCCGAAGACTCTCTGCCACTCGTTCAGCTACGGAGCTCCTCTACTTAACGCCGCCCTAAAACTGCCGCTATCTTGATACCAATTACGACTGTACCTCCTATCTACTCCTCAAAGTCTCGCTCAAGGCTCTTGCAATATGGGTGGCAAATGTAGCTCTGAGTGCGCCCTCTGCATGGT